TAACTCGTATTACGCTGACACAAGATGAAATATGTTGGCCAGTCTGCGACATTAAATAGCCAGATAATGCAGGTAAAGTACTTCCCTAGAGTGGTAGGTTCGAGGACTCACATGCACTAATCAGAAACAACCCAGCTCCAGGGGTCGCTGGTTGTGCACTCTGTGCTTGCCTGGCCTGGGCGCTCCACGCAGGGAAAGACCTGCTCTCTTCTCCCTAGGCGGGCTTCACACACATGCACACTGTCCACCAAAAGGCTTTTAATACACTCATCTGGCTTGAAGGCACAATTCAGGACTCGTAACATTGCCCGCAGTCTCAGGAATTAGTAACAAAAACTTGTCCAGTATGCCACACATTCTGCAATGAAAACACTGAGGTAGTAGTGACCGTGGGGGGCGAGGCTCATCACCAGCTCCCAGAGGAAGGGGTAAGACGAAGACAATGAGTGTGTCACTGCTACCGTCAGAAAGCAGGCAGCCATGGGGCTGGGGATTTAGCTCAGTGGCATAAGCACCTGCTTTGCAAGCAGGTAGTCGTCAGTTCGATCCCCGGTACCGATAAAAGAAAAAAGACAAAAAAAAAAAAAAAAAAAAGCAGGCAGCCAGTGATTCACCCCGCATCATTTAACAACCCTTAATGTTCAGATTTTCAAATATGACAATTTCCATTAGTTAAGAAGATGGGGCAGGGGGTTTGTATGTTACTGCAAACCTGTACTCGAAATACTTAGGAGGCTAAGGCAGGATTCCCACAGTGAGTTCAAGGCCGGCCTGAAATATATATCCTGTTTCAAATAAAAAGGAGGGGAAGGGGCCAGCTCACTGGGAGGAATACAGTTCACTGGTTTAGCATGTGTGAGGCACTGGGTTTGAAGCCCGTGCGCATGCGCACATGGAAGTTAGCAGTAATAAACGCAGCACACTTTACAGTGTTCTCTAGTATGTTGTCATTAGTCTAACCAAACATGTAATAACCTCTAATGTTTGGGCAGAAAAGTAAAACCAACATAAATACAAAAAATTATTTCACTTTGGCTGGATGAACTCACAAACTACTGTATCTAGTCATTCAGTTAATGTTAATTAAACACATCATACTATACTAAAATCCTCTGGCTAGAGACGTAATTCAAAACCCTACCCTGCACACCCTATGTTAAAGTTACTTGTAAAAAATGTAACCCATGTCTAAATATGTATCTCTATGCTTAAAAAAACCTGCACCCTATTCTTTTATATACTTATATCACTTCAAAAAAATAGGGTAAAAGCCAAACACATGCCTGTAATCCTAGCACTATGGAGGCTGAGGCAGGAGAATTGTTGCAAGTTGGAGACACGCGTGGGCTACAAAGTGAGCTCAAGACCAGCCTGAACTGTGTAGTGAGACCTCAAAAAGACCAAAAAAAAAAAAAAAAAAAAAAAAAAAGACTCAAAATGTTAAATTACAAATAAATATACATGAGGAATGTACTAGCCAAAAACACATTCCTAAACAACTATAAGGCTGATAAGTGCCAGGCATGGTGCGCCATGCCTATAATCTTGTTACTCGGAGGACAAGATTTAGAGGCAGCTTGGACCAATTTAAGGAGGTACTGTCTCAAAATAAAAACAGCTGGGGAGTGTAGCTTGTCATGGAGAGTTTCTCTAACTGCAAGGCCCTGGGTTCCATTCCCAGCACTGAAAAAAAATTAAAAAGGGAGGGAAAAAATGATAAAGTTAAAGGTTTTAATTATCAGCATTTTGAGATACAAAGAGAACAGTAAAATGAACTAAGGATGGAAGAAGACAAAAATTTTTTTTTTAATCTTGACTAAAACTCTAACTGGACATGGTGGTACATGCTTGTAATTCTAGACTCTTAGAGGCTAGGGTAGGAGGATCTCAAATTTGAGCCTAGCCATTGAGGCACCATCAAAAATAAAATAAAATAAAATAAAATAAAATGGGCCAGGAATCTAGCTCAGTGATAAGGTCCCCCAGTCTTAATTCTCAGTGCCACAAAAGAAAAAAAAAAACTTTCTAAGATTACATAAATAGGGCTGGGCCACACCTATGTGGAAGAACCCTTATCTAACATGCCTAAGGCTCTGGTTTTACACCCCAGGAAAGGGAGTGAGGGGGATGAACTATTAATAAACAGGGAAGGCATTGGTCACGTGCTAGCAGATTCATCCAGAAAAAAGTCATTATCTCTCAATTGACCTACAGTTCAGCATATCACAGGCAGGGTCCCAGGAGGGCTATCTGGGTGTGGGGATTGAAGCCAGGTCCTTGTGCATTCTAAGAGCCCCTCTGCCTCTGAGCTATCTTCAGCCACTAAGGGAAGTCTTACTGGCACAACCACAGTGGTTCAATAATATCTACAGAAGCTGAAGATATATATATATTTTAGGATCCAGCAATTCCTCTTCAAGGAATATATGCAACAGCACACACACATATGTTCGCCAAGGGATATGTATGGCATATCATTTAAAATAAATATACTGTGATACATACATACATACAATGGAATACTATACCACAATAATGATGAACAACTGTAAACAACATTATTGATGAATCTCACAAAAATACTAAGCCAAAACAAAACCAGAATGTAGAATTGACCTTGCTTTCCCAGAATGCACTTGGCAGAGACTCTGACTCCCTGCGGGGAGGGTAGTTTATCCACCTCCAGAGTCCAAGACAGTGACAGCCAAAGAAAAGGTTAAAGAACTCTTGAGGGGAGGGGTAGGAGGATAAAAAAGAGCTAAAGAACAAATGAAGAGGGGCTGGGGATTTAGCTCAGCGGCATAAGCGCCTGCCTTGCAAGCAGGCAGTCGGGAGTTCCATCCCTGGTACCGATAAAAACGAAAAAAGACAAAAAAAAAAAAAAGAACAAATGAAGAGAGAACAAGTAACTCTGAACACATCAATGACATGGTAGTGACAATCACCCTGGGTATCACCAACATAGTGTTTCAGTCACTGCTGTCCACTTACAGGAACCAACTCAACCTCAGACAAATTGCAGACTCAGATCTGGGACATCACACAAACACTTTTGACAGTGAAACACTTGTGCCAGAAAACAACTACTCAGGGAATGGTTGAAGCTGGCTTTATAGCTTCAGGAGGGGGTGGCTGGGATGTGGCTTGGTGCTTACCAAGCTCAATCTGCATTCCAGAAAAAAAAAAAGAAAGAAAGAAAGAAAGAAAGAAAAAGTTGAAATTCTCTCCAGGCCAAATTTGAGATACTCAGAGCTTCAAATTTGATAACAGACGGTTGCAATAGTGTATGCCTAGCATTTGAAAGTTCCTCCCCTCCCACCTTCCCCTCCAAAAGAAATAAGGTTAATATAAATTATAATCCATTAATATAATAAAAATTCATAGGTTTAGACTAAAAGATAAACAAACAAGTAAGTAAATAGCGGGAGAGCTTTTCCTTAGCATTTGAAACCAATTAATAGAGCTAGAAGAAATGACAAGAGCTGGTTGTGGTGACACTCCTTGAAGCTAAGGTAGGAGGATTGCAGACAAGATCAAGCCTAACCTGGGCAACTTGGTAAGACCCTCTCTCAAAATAAAAATAAGAATGTTATAAAAATTAGCCCATGTGTGGTAGTGTATATATGTATCTATAATCTCAGCACGCAGGAGGTTTACTGTGAGTTCAAGGCCAGCCCAGGCTATGCAGGTTTAAGGCCAGCCTGAACCACACAGAGAGACTCTGTTGCAAAAATAAATAGACAGCAAAAATCATAAATAATTGTCACACATTTTACAAGTCTAATATGCAGCAGTTTGTGTTTTAACCAAATTCCATAAAATCTTTCAAATAAAAAAAATTTGGGGGGGCTGGGGATTTAGCTCAGCGGCATAAGTGTCTGCCTTGCAAGCAGGCAGTCGTGGGTTCAACCCCTGCAAAAGGAAAAAGACAAAAAAAAAATTTTTTTTTCCTTTGGTACTGGGACTTGAACTCAGGACCTTGTGCTTACCAGACAGGCACTGTGCCACTAAACTATATCCCCAGACCTCAAACTCTAAATCAACCAATACTTTTATTATTTTTATCAATCATGTAAGAACTGATGTTTATAGTACACTAGAATTCACAAGCTACTTTCATTTAACCCCAGAGGCTCCATGAAATGTGCCTAATAGGTCGAAATCACTCACAGGGAAAACAAAACCAAAAGAAATCACCCACGGAAAATAAACATAAAATCTGTATTATTGGCAGGCATCAAGGCAGTCTCAACATTGAGGGTACAGACAATTTTACCCTTTCAAAAGTAAGCACACTGGGCAGCTCACTGGCACAGCCCTTGCCTGGCAAGTGCTGGGTCCTGAGTTTGATTCCCCATACAAAAAAAAAAAAGGATGCTGGATGTGGTGACACCCACCTACAATCCCTCTCCAGAGGATGAGGTAGAAGATAATTGTGAGCTTGAGGCCAGCATAGGCGATGTAGTGAGTTTGTTGTGGAGTTTTAAATTGTCTGCCCCCCCATCAGGTTTTAAGGTAGTTAATTTGTTCAACTTTTTTTTTTTTTTTTTTTTTTTTTTGAGATGGGGTTTCACTATGCAGCTCAAGCTTACTTAGCCCAGGCTGGTCTAGAACTTGCAAAAATCCTCTTGCCTCAGCCTCCCTAGTGCTGGGATTACAGAAGTGCCCCACCACACCTGGCCAATTCTTAAGTTTTAAGTCCATAATCACATACACAAGAAAGGCAAGCAATTAGCTAAAATGAAGCACAGTGGAGATCTTTGCAAAACCACACCTTTAGGATTTCTCTATGTCCCTATCAAATGCTACAATGGAAGAACTGTGTGCTCGAGGGACAATTACTAGGAGAAAGCCAAGCTGTCTCTGCACATGGCCTTCCTCGAGCAGACCCAGGTTCCTACAGTCAAGCAACAGCAAGTTGCCAATTTACAGGACAGGAGATGGAAGCCCCCAGCTTGGCGCACCCCCTCTCTCCCACGTGGGCCTGGGTCCTCACTCACCTCCAAAGGCACCAGGACGGATGGCTTCTTCTTCAGCTCCTCACACTTCCTCTTCTTGCAGATCTGATGGCTGTTTTTTCTGTTCTTGCAGTATGTGCACTCGCCACAGTTGGCCTTCTGCTGGCAGGGCCCGCAGACCCCGCAGCGCTTGCGCTTCTTCTTCTCCAGAGTCGGCAGGAGGGTCGTGTAGGACAAGGAGGCGGTGGCGCTGGCCAGGGACACCGGTTCGGGCGCGCTGCTCACACTGACATGGGGACTCTGACTTTCGGTGGTGCCAGGACCAGCCTGGGAGAACTGGACAGAGCCAGGCAGGGCTGGAGCAAGGCTGCTTCCCAGCGCGACAGTGACATCGGGAGTGGTGGCTGGCGGAAGGCCCATAGGAATGGGCGCCTCAGTCTCTGCATTGCTTGCAGCTATTACTGGAGGTACTGAGCTGAACTCAGGGCCTGATGGAGGCTGAGGAGCGTGTCCTGGGCCCAAGGGCAGGACTGGCCCAGCACTTGGTACTGCAGGCCTGTAGGTTACAGCACCCTCGGACACAGGCCACTGTGGGAGAGCACTATAGGCAGGAATTGCATTTGGGAGCAGGGGAAGGAAGGCACCCAGGTCTGGGGCAGCACCCGCACCTGAGACCAAACCCAGGACTTCGTGTTGGTTGAGGATAGGACCAAAGACCTCTCTTTGGACTGAAGTAGCACCAGGAATTTCCAGTGGGGCTGGGGCCTCCCCCGGAACTGGGTTAGCACCCGGAATTTCCCACTGATGAGGAACAGCCTGAAAGGCTGGTCCTGGGATGGAGGCAGAATCAGCAGCTCCCTCTGGAGCTGGGGTAGCTTGGAGGGCCTCTTGGTTGTGGGGTTGAGCACCAAGGGTTTGTGGCTCGGAGCCTGCTAAGAGGAACTTTATCAGGGCTGAGGGATAGACAGACAGGTAGTTCCTGAGGTCCAGTTCGGGTACACCCTGATGAAAGACAGAGGATGGGCAGCTCTCCTGTTCACGTGGGTCAGGATCTGGGCTAGAATCAAACAACTTCAGAGATTGTACTCGTGAACCCAAGTCTTCCAACTGAACGTGAGGGTTTCTGTGGGAGGTAACTTCGGTGGCTACTCTTTGGGACAAAGAGGTACTCAGAGTGTCCCAAGCAAAGCTCTGGGACTCGCTGGTGTCATTTGGTATCTGTTCAGAGAAGAGTTCTTCACCACAGTGTGGCCTTTCCAGAGGCTCAGGCAGAATCTCAGCTGCTAGGGTACTGGAGGTGGGGACACTGATTTTGGACTCCTCTACCTTTTGAGACCAAGGCTGGGTTGTCTCTGGACTCTCACCTTTAACTAAAGGTGTGTTTTGTACACTGATTAGATTTTCTGTATCAAGAGGCACTGGAGGGTCTGAATTTGGGACTGGGTCATTTTCTGAATGCTTTACTCCGGGGTTGGAGAGCACTTTATTACACTCGCGTTGCTTTTCTGAATTCTTGGAAGACGCAATTTTCTTGGGTTTGGCAGTGACCACTGGAGGCTGGGAGAGCCGCCTGCTAAGAGAGGTGCTGCGGAGAGCCATTGTAAAGCCATTGCAAGTTAGGGACTCTGGGTTCTGTAACAGAACCTCATTGCGATCCAGATTCAGACGGGCTGCTCCAGCTCGGGTCAGAAGGCTTCTGGCTGGCACAAGAGGTTTGGGTTCTGTTTTTTTCTTACCATCTCTTTCTTGAATTAATTGTTTTAACTTTCCAGGGCTCACAGGCTTGACTGATGTCACATTTTTGTTGGCTGCTGGCTTGTGGGTCTTCTTCAGTTGGATGTTTTTCTTTTTGTTTATGTCTTCCTTCCTGACTAACCTGGAAGGCCTTGCGTGACGAGATCGAGACATAGCTACAGAGTGGGAAGAACTCCAAGGGCCCAGGAAATAGAGTCATTGGTCCTTTGGAAAGTCTCACTTTGGAGGAGAATCTGGATAGATTGTCAAGCTCAGTCATACAAAGTTTCAACCTGAAATAAAAATATTGAAAGTAAGTCTCATGCATTTTCCACTTGAAAGAATATTTACTATTGGTTAAAATGAGGAAACTCAGAACATGTATTGCAAAAGAAAAATGGGTAGAGATGTTTCCAGAACTGAAAAAAAAAAAAAAAAAAAAGAAAAAGAAAAATGGGAATGCCCCACCTCTGTCTCTCTCTCTTGAGGCATGTTCTCCCAGAGTTGGAATAACAGGCTGTGATACCATGCCAAGCTGAAGAATTATTACGAGGTTGGATTCGTTATAATATTCCTTTAATTACCACAACAACCGACTCAGCTGATAAAGTTCTTAGAATAAAATAAGCATAACAATGTTTCTCTACATGAGACACAGCATGTGTAGTTATATGTATTTTAAAACTTAAATCTGTCTTTAGGTACTGTGATCATTAACCTTGATGTCAGCTTCACTGGGTAAAGAAATATCTTGCCAATTAGAAGAGCATGCTCCTGCATGTGTGGCCTGGGTCAGCCCTGGGTACTGTATATGGTGCTCTTCCCTGCTCTGCTTCCTGGCCACCATGAACTAAGCAGCTTTGCTCCGCTATACCCTTCTGCCATGAAGTTCCTGCCTTGGAGCCAACTGACCATGGATTGAACTCCCTGAAACCATGAGCAAGTTAAGCCTCTCTTCCCTGAAATTGTGGGTATTGGACATTGTGTCTCAGTAACAACAAAAACTAAAAAAGATACTTTAAAAATTGTCTCATTCTTTTTTCTAAATACATTCCAACACAAGCTAGGTAGTGTGGACTTAACGACAAAGTTGGTAAACCCAGAGGCAGGAGCTTATGTACTCCAAGAAACTGTATCCCCTGTTCCCATTGCCCTGGCCCATACCCCCCAGTCTTTGACACAAGATCTCACTAAATTGCCCAGGCTGGGCTCAAACTTTCAATCCTCCATCCTCAGCCTCCCAAGTGCTGGGATTATGGGCTTTGCACTGCCATACCTGGCTTGGAGATCCAATATTAACTTTAGGTTTCAATTAACAGTCCAAAAACTTTGAGCTTTTAACATGTCCGGAGATTGCAACAGGGGAAAAAAACACCTGGTTGCACTCAGCCAAAGACACAGAGACAACAAGAAATAAAATAAGGGGTTCCACAGATTATAGACCATATATATATATTTTTTGTTTGTTTGTTTGTTTTGTTTTCCTTTTCATAAGGTCTCACTATGGGGTTCAAGCTGACCTTGAAATAATTTACTACATAGCCCAGGTAGGTCTCAAACTTGAGGTAGTCCTCCTGCCTCAGCCTCCAGAGTGCTGCTATTATAGATGTGTGTGCCACCATGCCTCACTCACAAAACCTACATTTTAATCATCTCTGCTTCACTGATGAAATGTAACCTTTTGTGATAAATTAAGGTTTTGCTATGGCTGAACACCCCCCACACACACACATCCCTGTATTGGAAATTGAACCTAAGGGCCTTCACACTGACATCCCCAGCCCCTTTTGTTATTGTTCGTTTTGTAGGGGGCAGGGTCTCATTAAGTTACCAACTTGCCTAGGCTGGGCTCAAATTCATGGTCCTCCTGCCTCAGCCACCCAGAGTCCTGGAATTACAGATATGTCTCACCCCACCCAGCTGGTAATGTAATCTATTCTGTCAAACAAATCCACAGTAAAATATGAAAAATTTATCCTCAAAGATCTCCTGAAACTAATCTTCCTTTATAATTTACAAATATTACTAAATGTGCCATTTTTAGCGATTTATGTATTATAGAGAAGATTCACCCAAAAAGATATTGGGCTGGGACTGTAGGTTAGTAATAGAACAAGATCTCCAGCACCAAAGAAATTTTTTAAAAAAGTGTATCTTCCAGTGAACACGCAGATCCCACTAGCCAGATGAATGAAAATAAAAATCTAACAGTAAAATCTCCTTTGTCTATTAACATCTCAGTTCCACTCTTGTTTTTCCTTTTTGACTAAAACTGATGTTTTGGTCCTTCTCAAAAGCAGTTTTGGAATATAGCTCAGCAATACAGTGCCTGTCTGTCAAGCACAAGGTTGTGAGTTCAATCCCTGGTACAAAAAAAAAAAATCATCATAATCTAGAATATTTCCAGAGTCTCATTACTATAGGGAGAGCTACATGATAACAACATGGGAAAAGAAAATCTACATAAGAGTCCAGAAAGGGGAGCCACATGCAATTGACTGAATTGACAGGATCCTGAGTTCCTATTGTTCTGGATGAGAAAAACAAAACAAAAACCAACTCTGGGATGCAAAACATTACTCAGTTAATAGACCTTTTCATCAGAAGGTACCAAGGCCCCTAACCCACAACAAATTTTTCCCTAAAATATTATTGTGATATATGGGACTACAGTGCATGAGATTCAAAATCATAGGGCAAGAGAGAAGAGACCAACCTCTAAAAAGATACAGAAAGACTCAGTACAGCCTAGCATAGAGGTGCACGTCTGTAATCTTAGCACTCAGGAGGCTGAAACAGGAAGATCTCTGAGAATTTGAGGTCAGCATGGGCTACAAGGTAAGATCATGACTCAAAAAGAGAAAAGAAAAAAAAAAAGACACAATACTAGCCCAACCTACCATATGTCTGGTTTGAGTTCTTGTTCTTTAAAATCAAAGAATGAATTTTAGGAGCAAAGGAGGTTAAAAGCAGAAATACTTATTAAGGGAAAGAAAGCTTCTGTCTGAGAGAGAGACAGAAGGGATCCCAAATGGGTTACTCCACAATACTAGCCCAAACTTGAGAATAAAAGTCAAATAACAAAGTAGAGAAATAAGAAGTGCACTTTGATAGGTGATCACTGCTACCAGGGGTCTGCTAGTTATTCATACATAACCAAATCAAATATTATTTGAACTTACCAAATGATCAGCCTTTCCCTAAGACGCTTTCTTACAATTATTTAAGATAATCACCTTGGGCTGGCTTTAGCCCAGCTGTTCCTTCGAGTCTGGTTTCCCAACCGCTTAGGCCCATCGGTCCGATGGTTAGAGACCCGTGGGCACTCTCCAGTCCTTTTTATTAAAAAAAAAAAAAAAAAAAGATAATCACCTCCCATGTGTGGTGGTACAAATTTATAACCCCAGCTAGTCAGTTACTCAGGAGAATGGGATGGATCCCAAATTCAAATTCAGGCTGAGTAATTTAGCAAGACCCTGTCTCAAAAGAAAAAAGAAAAGCCAGGCATGGTGGTGCACAATTATAATCCCAGAACTTGGAAGGCTGAGGGAGGAGAATCACTGAGTTCGAGGCCAGCCTGAACTGCATCATGAGACCCTGTCTCAAAAAGAAAGAAAGAATAAAAAGAAAGGCAGGCTGGCAGGCTGGGGGCTGTTTATGGTAGTTTTGCCCCTCCTAATGCAAGGTGCTGGGTTCAATTCCCAATACCAAAATAAATTAATTAAAAATCAATAAAAATCATAAGATGAAAGGCTGGCTTCCTAAACTCTATCAGTGGTCTGTAAATAAGCATACTGCGAGCACCAGGTCAAAAAATCTCCTGGCTACACTCCTTTTCGAGATCTCCCTGGGTAGGAAATAGCTAAACTAAATGGATACAACCCATTCAGCCCACCTGCCAGTTTAAACTTAGACTGTAGTTTTCTGCCTGTTCCCATCTGTGGCTGAAAACGGTGATGTTTGCATATAGAGCTTGGTTGAAAAGCCTCAAATTTCACAGTCCCTCCATTAAGCTCTATGAAACTTAAATGCTCTTGCACTTGACTGAGAAAAACAGGACTTAAGACATTTCTTTTTAAGGCACCACCTGGTTCAGTTTCCTCCAGCCAATAAGTTCTACATCAAAAGCGACAGACCCACCACTGCTAGCTGTTCCTAGATCGTTTTCTGCTACGGAGAGTGTGAGGGCTAGGAAAGACTGTTCGGTGAAAAGCTAGCAGATTTAGTGAAAGGCTCCTTCCATATGTAAAACACCAGCTCCCTGCAGTGAGGAGAGGCGGCGACAAGGGCGAAGAGAGGGAAGAGAAGGTTTAAAAATGGAGGTAGAGTGGCTTTCCAAAGACAAGGGGAAAAAAATAAAAGAGCATTAAAAGAGGGAAGAAAACATCTATAAAGTGGGGAGGGATGCTACAGGAGGGACGAGAAGTTTCAGCCAAAAAGTTGGAATACAAAGATAACTGGGACCCAAAGCCTGAACAGTAAAGGTAGAAAGACCAAGGAGGGTAAAGAAAAACTAATTCAGTGTGTATGGGGGGAAAGATAGTCACACAAGGAGGGAGGTGGGGGCAAACCAGACAAGATCGGGGACACCCAAAGGGTTGGGGCAGTGCATGTCCAGACCTTCGGCCGGTCCTTCCAGGAAGACCCGGCAGCCAACTGTTAACACGGTGAGCCAGGATCAGCGTCGCAAGTCCAGGCCATTGATCTTTGCCAAAACCAGGGCCACTGTACAGACCATGTCCCATGGACCTTGATGCTGAAGTTTCATCTAAACCATAATATGCTTTGTAAGACAAAAGAGGTTGACAACCCAACTAAAAATCCTTTCAACTAGGAAAAGCAGGGATTTAGGGCGTTTTTTACCTTGCTTAACCAATACCGACGAAAATCAATAAACACGCCCAAAGCCAAAGCCACACCACAAATCACATTAGTTTTAGTTCTTGGAAATAATGTGAACTAAATTTCCAAACATCTTCTCGTTTGTATTTGTCTATGTGGACACCCCCACTACATTTAATTGTAGGTATAAATCCCCACTACGCTCTGATACTCTTGCTCAGCTCTCTGCAAACTCTCTGGGTACCCTGAAGCCAGTGTTGGGCTTTACTATGTGATTTCACCCAGGGCGGCCTCAGTCCTCAGCAGGTCTGAGGCTGCTGCTCTCCAGCGCCTCCAGGACGCAGCATGTCGCTCACCCTGGCGACCCCAGGTGGGGTCCTAATTGCTTTCCAGTTACAAGGCCTGGAAGCCACATTTCAAATATTTCTTCATTCGCCGGTCATTGCCGTGAAGTATTATGCAGCCCATCTAGTGCGCGGGAGAGGAACCCGGGGAGGAGGCCGGCAGTGATCCAGGCAGGATAGCTGGTTAATTTGGGAGGACAGAGTTCCGGGGCGAGGGTGGGGGTGGGGTGGAACCCCTTTTCAATCTCCTGACTATTCTCGGGGAGATGCGCTCCTCACTGGTTCATAAATGCCCAGTGTGTGCCCAGGCTCGTGTAGAAATATTGCTGCCGCCGGCCAGGACTTTTCCTGACCACTTCTGGTAGAAACACATGGATTTCGCAAAAGATGAAACCGAGCAGAGAAGGGGAGGCCAGGAAGAAGGCGGGCGGGAAGGAGGGAGGGAGGGAGTAAAAGGAGATTTTTAAATGCTTCTCCCAGCCCGGGAACTGGGGGGCGGGGACCGAGGCTCACGTGTCGCACGGCCAGTCCCTGTCGCGGTCTTGGGGACCCAGCTCTGCGTGCCTCCCACGCCCGGGAATCCCCAGGAGTGGGACCGAGGTGGCCACAAGCGCCTAGCGATATGGGGCCGGGTGGCGGTCGTGAAATACTCTTCTCCAAAGTCACTTGACAGACTGCGTCTCCCCTCGGGCGCCCTTCCTCCCCGATCCTTCAGCTCAGGTCTAGGCGCCCCCTAAGGCCTCCTCTCCACTAGCTTCGCCCCTAGCACGCACGGCGCGGCAGGCGCCAAAAGCACTTTCCCTGCCCATCTGTGTCCGCAGAAGTTAGGGGACTAGAGG